CCACTTCCAAGGTCTCAGCAGCACCTGTATCCCCAGCCCAAATTCCTGATGAGCTCCTCTCTCAGCCAGGCACCAGAGGAAGCACCGAGTAAGAGTTTCAGAAGTGTTCCACATCCTCCTGCATTTCCTTTCCAAATTTGCAGCCCTCAATTGCTGCAGGAGGCACAGCTGGCTCAGCTCCGCCGGAAACACGGCCAGTCAATTTTGGGAACATCTTTGGGAACTCTCACACTTTACAAGTGCTGAGCTCAGGGAAATTTTGCCCCTGTGCATTTCTTGGTACATCATTGGTGCCTCTCCAGCACAGCTCCCCTTGGGCCGGGGTTATATTTGCAATGCCAAGGGCAAATAAAGGCTCCAAGTGGTAAAAACTGCCCCTGGATCCCTGGAATGTCCAAGGCCAGGTTGGACAGGGCTTGGCACAACCCAGGGCTGTGGAAGGTGTCCCCACCCATGGCAGAAGGTAGCACTGGGTGATCTTAAACCCTTCCTTCCAAGCTGTTTTATGATTCACTGAATGCTAAAATGTGCCTTCTCTGAGCTGCTGCTCCCACGGGCAGAGCTCTGAGGAGCAGCACCGTCACCCTTCCCTTTCCTGACTCTCCCCACACCCCCAGGGCTTAGAACACTCTCCTGGGGCTGGTTCACCCTCAGTTTACAGCCCAGCACAATCTCAGGTTCCACAGAGGGCTGGGAGAGAGAAGGAGCCTCAGCACAGAAGGAAGCAGAAGATCTCAGTTAACAGCGCTCATCCTCCCGTGTCCCAGATTCACTGGAAAGAAACCCCCGGTGCTTTGGCCCCGCAGGGAGCACAGAGGGCTGATGAAGAGTTCCTGCTCCCATTCTCCTCGCTCCTGCCTCCCAGGATCCCATCTCTTTGGGATGTCCCACCTGTGGGATCACTCCCTTTCCATGTCCCCAGGCACTGATGAACTCCTCAGCCACCGGTCCTTGCTCAGCATTCCTCACAAACCCCTCAGGCTGATGACCAAAGGAAATGCAACCACTGCTCTTAAAAATGTAAAATTCAGGCAGTCCTCAAGGGATTTCTCCCATGGGGTCACAACACGCTCTGAACTCAGGCTGAGCCCCCAGGGCACCTCTTTTAATGCTGCATTACAGAACTGGAACCTCACCCTGAACCCTCTCTGGAGATGGAAACTATTCTGGTTTAGCCTCTCTGTTCTGGTTCCAAGCAGCACCACGATGTTTAGTAAATAATAAACACAGCATGGCAACATTTCCCTTGAAATTAGGCTCAGAAGAAGGTCTGCAGCAGCCCACCACGGTTTAATTCCTTTATCAGTGTACTTCCTCCCAATGGAAAGAGGGGAAGGAGCAGAATTCTGACCGAAGGTGATTCTGTGTCTGATTTCAAACGTGTGAGCACAAGTGACAACCAGCCCCGTTTCCAGTCCTGTGGAGAAGACAGCAGAGCTGTCCCTGTGTGTGAACAGGTGGCTGTTTATCCACGGGGTATGGCCAGACATGGAGAGGGAGAGGTGTAAAAAGCGACCTCACAGCGCTCAGTTCACACAGAAAAGCTGTTCACCTGTCTGCCTGTTGTTTGTTTTGTCCCTGCCAGCCTGGGAAAGGGGACAGCAGTGACCTTCCAGGAGACAGAAACATTTTCCTTCTCCCCACACCAGCCAGCCATTCCCAGATATTCTGTGAGTGTGATGTGCATGAAATACAGAATACCATAGCTGGCGTTATGAAATCCCTTTTTACAGCTTCCAGATCTCCAGCAAATGTACAAATAAATGGGAAAGTGAGAGGGAGGGAGAGGCACAAAGCAAATCCCAGGCTGAGGGAGCAGCACTCTGCTAACTGGATGGCCAGAGCCAAAATCAGGAGCATCCAGTTATTTTAGCAAGCCTTGCCAAGAGACTAAATAGATGAGCCCAGGCCAGGTGTCAGTGATTATAATCCCACTGCTGCCAAAGTCGCTCCCGTTTGCAGCCAGCCTGCCTTTGGCTCTCTCTCCCCAGCACAAGGAATAATTCCTGAAGCAGGGACTGGGAAAAGCAGCCCCACCAAGCACAGCTGCACCTGCCCTGCTCCAGGGCAGCTCTCACCTGTGGGACTCTGCTGAATGCTCAAAACCTCATGGAATTTTAAAACAACACCGTCCCTGGAGCTGCTGTGGAGAGAAGAACCTGTGGAAATACCTCAGCACGTTATTTCCAGGCGGGTTCTGCCGTGGAAAACGAGCGGTTTATGGATGGGATGAGCTGGATGCTTCCATGCCCAAAATGATCCCTGTGCAGGTACCACAGAGGGAGTGGTACCTGCACAGAGTGCAGAGCAGAGGGATCTCAAAAATCCCTCAAAAACCACCCCACCACCCACAGCAGAGTCTGAGCAGGCATCCCTTTCCTTTCCCAGTTCAAATGGAACCGATCCATCACCCTTTCCCAAAACCACCCCCTTTTTGGGCCTTCAGCCACCCCCAGGCACGGGGGGTGAACACATGAAAGCAGACAATGCTTTGGGAAACGTTGCTAAAAGAAGTAAAAGCAATCAACTGCTCAGCAAAGAGTCCTGGAGCCTGCCTCCCTCACGCAGGTATCCAGGCACTCCTCTCCCCTCTGACAGCTTCTTTTTTTGGGAGAAACCTCGGGCTGAGCACAGGGAATGAGCCAGGCAGCCCCGGGGGAGGATGGGCCTGAGCTGCATCACACCTGCACAAAATAATAGTTTTCCACAAGTACAGATAAATTAGGAAATAAAGAGGGGTTCCATTTCCTATTTTTTTCACCAAACACAAACCCTTTCCACTGCTGAAGACTCTACAAGGGGTTTTTTTTACCATTTTTAAGTGCTGTACAGTGAATATCTCTCCTTTTACAAGTGGAACCTTGTAGCTATGGAGACGCAGAATGTCAAATCCAAGCTGAAGACAGGATTTCAGTGGGGGCTTTGGGTTGCTACATGTGCCTTCAATGATCTGCTTTCCATCTCCTGAAGTCTTTATTATTCTCTATTATTTATTAGTCTGTAACAGCGTGCAAAGAGCCACTGGCTGCTCAATAAGGACACAAACACGGAGTGGCCTGTCAGACACAGCTCTGGAGCGTCCTGCACAGTCTGATTTACACCCAGGGGCACCACAAACCGCCTCCCTCAGTCCTGCAAGGTTGTCATCAGTTTAATTTAAGCCAAATGAAACCGTTCTGGTGCAGCCACAGCACCTGGAAGCCAGGTGAGCTGGGGTCCCCTGGTGTTTAGTGCTGGGTGTAACAACCACGGCCACCTGGGGAATTACGCCACACTGACCTCGTGTTGCTGCACCTGGGAGGACTCCTGAGCCTCGCAATTACCTGCTGTAATCCCAATTATCCAAATTCCAGTCTCCCAAACATCGTCCCTGTCTTGTGTGATGCAAAAGGCATTAGGGAGGATGGTGTCGTTACCTGTATGGCAACTCGGTTATCACGAGCACATTCATCTGTCTGCTTACCACCACGGAGCAAATGAAACCACATTTTAGTCAGGCTAATGAAACCTCAGTGGTGTCAAACCTGAGCATGAAGGGGACACATGAATGCTCTTTGTGACAGCCAGAGGAAATTCAAAATGACTTGACCATCACTCATTTTCTACTTGTGCTGGTAACAGTGAATAAACCAAACCGCACACCTTCATTCTGCATTTCCTGGAGCAATGACAGGGACATGGCAGGTTTTCTGTTCTGTTCTGAAGACAACACTGCTCCAGAGAAAGCAATCCCAAACCACTGCATTTTTCTTCCTTCCCCTTAGCTCCACAGTCCAAAACCATCTGGGGAGTTCAGGTGGCAAATATGAAACCTCTCAAAAGGCGCCCCATTGTCAGAGAGTGAAAACGTTGGGTTTTGAACAATCCAGATCCAAGAACTGCAGATCCCACTCTGCTCATCTTCACCACACCTCCCACAGCACCTGGGCTCAGAATTCCCACAGCCAATCCCAACCTGCACCAAGGGGTGGGAATAAGCTCCAAGAGGCACATGAAACACTCTCAGTAGAACATCCACAACCAAGGAAGCAAAGTCCACCTGGTGCCACATCACAAGCCGGATTAAGTGACCAGGACTGCAGTGGAATTGTGCAAATCCTCCTTTGCCAGCTCTAAATAAGCAGCAGAATTCCAGGCAAACCCATCCCCTGCACCCACAGCAGTGGAGTCATTGGCAGGAGAGCAACAAAACAATTTGGAATTTCCTTGCAAAGCTGGACAGCAGAAGAGAAGCGCTGAGAGCTTTTCCTGATTGTGTTTCCCATGTTGCTGAGTCAAATCCTGACACGGCCTGAAGATTGTGGAAATCAACTCCAGCAGGGCTGTCTAAGCCTCCACTGATCACTGAAATGAAATTAAACCCTCCAAGAATCCCCTTCTCCCAACCCAGACATTTGCAAATGTGCTGTTTGACAAAGGCTCAAGTCCAGAGGAGCCTCTGTGCTCCTGCTGCTCCAGGAAAACAACTCCAAGATCCTGCTGCAGTCCTGTTGTCCCCTGGTTTGCTCCTGAACCAGATCAAAAATGCAGGAAATCTTTGGCAATAACATGAAATAGGCCATAAACCCCTCAAGATTTGATGTGAGGTCTGGAGAAAAGAGGTTTCCATATTTAGTTTTAAACCAGAAAAGGCTCTTAAGCTCCTCTGTATCTACCAATCCATTAAAAATAGGATTCTCTTGTAGCCACAGCTCATCAAATGGGTGCAAACAGGAGGAGAACAACACTCCAGATGCCTTTATCACAGTTGTTGACTCCAACTTAATCGCTTTTTTAATAAGTCTTAATTATTCAAAATAATCACCATCCCTTCCCTGCCTGTTGTCATTTAACGCGAGAGAACCTTCTACAGAGCAAACCCCAAAGCAGGAAAAAAAACAACCAAAAAAAGAACAAAATCTCATTAATCTTTCTAATATTTAGAGATACCTCAAGAGCTTCAAACATTTACCTCTCCTTCCCAGCAGCTGAAATGGTTTTAGGAGGATCATGGTTCATACCTCGCATTCCCTGGAGCCAGAGATGGTGTAGGTGCAGGGTCCAGATCCATTAACGGATACATCCATGGTCTCAGAGTTTGTTGGCTTGTAGTCCACGTAATATTCCTGCAAAGGGGAGTTCATTTGCCTCTCCGACTCCCGGGCCTTTTTCCTGCGCCTCTTCATGAGCGTGTGCTGCTGGAGCTGCTTCATGCTGGCAGGATAACGCTTCCAGGACACGTAGATGACCAGCAGGATCATGGCCACGGAGAGGAAGAGGGCCACGCTCCCCGCGATGATCTTGTGGAAGGACACGTGCTCGTATTCCGGCTCCACCGCGGGCGTTGGGATGTCTGCGGAAGGGCTTGGCATCGCGGATGTCGGCTGGTGGCTTTCCAGTTTGGAAACGGTGGGTTTGGGGATGAACAGGGGTCTCTGGGGGGTTTGGGGGGCCTGGTAGGACCTTTCGGTAGCCACCACCTGGATTTCGGCACAGATATTATAGGTTTCCACAGCGTCGCTCACCTTCTCGCCCTGGATGTGTTTGGGGCCTGCACAGATCATGGTGCTCTCCTTATTTCCCTTGAAATTCTTAAGCCAATTAAACAGGGGGCAAATGCTTCGAGTACATTCCCACATATTCCCGGACAGAGTGATGGAGATGAGCGAGATCCACGTGTTGATGGTCTCCTGGGAGATGTTGGTGAGTTTGTTGGAATCCAGGTTCAGCTTCTGCAGGTTGGGCAGGCACTGGAAGGTGCCGGGCTCTACCCCTGCGATGTCATTTCCCGATAAATCCAAGTTGTGCAAGGAACTCCATGTCCACGTCAACCCCTGGCTGATGGAGCGGATCCTATTCCACTGCAAGTAAATGGAGCGGAGGTTGAAGAGCCGCGGGAAGTGCGCAAAATTGATCTTAGAAAACTGGTTGTGCTCCAAGTGGAGCTCCGTCAGCTTCAAAAGGCCGGCGAAGGCGTTGCGGGACAAGCTCCGCAGGCGGTTGTAGCCTAAATCCAGGAAGTCGAGGTTGCGGCAGTCCTGGAAAACGCGGATGGGCACCGTTTTCAGCGAGTTGGACCTCAGGTGCAGGATCAGGAGCTTGCGGAGGCCCTTGAACTGCTCCGCCTGCAGCACCTGCAGCTTGTTGTAGGACAGGTCCAGGTTGCGGAGGTTGGGCACGGGGTGGAAGGTCTTGTTGTGCAGGTGGGTGATTTTGTTGGAGCTCAGGATCAGCTCCTTCAGCCGGCGGATCCCCTGGAAGGCGTCCTCATCCACGGAGCTGATGTAATTGTGGTCGAGGTACAGCCATATCAGCTGATTGAGGCCCGCAAACTGGTGGGATTTCAGCTTCTGGATGCTGTTGTAGCGCAGGGACAAGCCCTGGGAGCCGCCGGAGATGTTGTGGGGGATGTCTCGGAAGGCGTGCGACTCGCAGTACACGATCTTGCCATCACAGCGGCAGTTCTTGGGGCAGGCTCGCTGAGCACCTGCCAGCCCCGCCAGCAGCGCCAGGGGAAGCAGCCCCAGCAGCACCCTGGAGCCTCCCCGCTGCTTGATTACATGGAAACCTGCAAGATCCGAAAGGAAAAAGGGCCATTGGAAAACCTCGCAGATAAATTACCACATCACCAGGGGCTCGGGGACAGCCTGAGCCCAGTGGGGGTTTGGGAGACAACCTGTTCGCCTCCTGCCTCGGCTCTTTGTGGTGCAAATCGCCGTCCTTGGAGTGCCTGCCTGGCCATCTCTCCTGCCCCCACCGCCACCAGAGCCCCTCGGTGGGGCTTGCGGTCCCCCAGGAGCAGCAGGAGCCTGTTCCCTGCCGGCTGTGCTCCTGTCCCCTGGCTCTCCGGGGAGCTGGGGTGTCCTCAGCGCTCCGTGCCGAGGTTTGAACAATAAACATATTTGTCAAGTCACTGTGCTGGATGCTCCATAGTGCTGGAAGGAAATGAGCCAGAGCTTCTGCTCCTACGTGCTGCTCAACGTGCTCCTCAAGGAAAGCAACCGCAAGTCCAGTCCCCCCTGCCCAGATTACCCCAGACAGAGTGAAATCCACTTCTCCCGGAGTTTGATCCATCTCTATAACATGTATTTATATAAAATTAGGCATTAAGTAAAGGTTTTACTTCTTTCACTGAGTGATTCAGGTTTAAGAGTAGCTTTAAGTAAAACTCATGGGGGTTTATGTACCTAAAATACAGAAGTAGATGCAGAGGAACTAAGTTTGTCCATACAGAGGAGTGTACCAGGAATGCTGGCATGGGACCCCCATGACAGGGAAAGGTAGGAGATGTCGTCCTTTCAAATGAGCCTCTGCCTAAAAACCCATGCTCATTTAAACTCATCCACATATGGCTGTCAATAACCTAAACAGTTATTAATTTGAATTAACCCAGTAGATGGTGAAAATACCCACCCCAACACTTCCAGATAGCAGCAAACACAGAAAGTTTAAAGGGGGATATTTCTCTTTATATTCCCCTCTCTTGATTGATTTTAAGGGTTCACCTTTAAGATGTCATGTTTGTCATGCAGCAGCAGCGCTGGGTGTGAGGACATATGTAATAATTGAATATATAGAATCCTGAATAATTATGAGAGGGTGTGGAGGGGGTGTCAGAACCCCCAACACCCATCTGCACGCCTGGAATAATTTTAGGGCTGCTGCCTCTGTCCAGAGTTGCAGCCTTGCTGAGAATGAAAATGCATTCTTCCAACAGGAAATATTTCAAGGGCTCATATCTCCTTGATAAATAATCACTTTATTATTTGCCACACACACACACACAAAACCAAGCCAGTGCTGCCGGGTCTTTAATCCAATTTTAAACTGGGGGGGGGCAATTTGCAAAAATAATTCCTGATCTAGAATGCCCCTGCCTTCCACTTTAATGGGTAGATTTGTAATTTAAATCCTCATTTTTTTGCTCCGTTCTCTTTGCCAGCAGCAGACAGCTAGAAATATGTTCTGCCTGTTACAGACTCGGGGGCTGGGGAGGGGGGGAAGGAAGGAGGGGAATAAACCTGTCACACTCGGAAAAAAACCCCGACTGGCAAATGACTGCTGGAAATGTAGCAGAGGTACCAGGGGCCTCTTCAAAACCACCTATACAAGAAACAACTCCCCCCTCCCTCCCCTCTGCCTCTCACATCCTGCAAAGTGCCACCGCCACCCTCCCTGGCAGCCCGGCTGCTGCCGGGGGCCCGGGAGGTGAGGGCGGCAGGAATTTGGGGTGAAGGCGGCAGGATTTTAGGGTGAAGGCCGGCAGGATTTTGGGGTGAAGGCGGCAGGATTTTGGGGTGAAGGCGGCAGGATTTTGGGGTGAGGACGGCAGGATTTTGGGGTGAGGGCGGCAGGACTTTGGGGTGAAGGTGGCAGGATTTTGGGGTGAAGGCAGCAGGATTTTGGGGTGAATTCGGGCACCGCCGCAGCTCCCGGAGCCCGCGCAGGTGCGGCTCACACAGGAGCGGCTGTGCCCCTGGCTCGGGGCAGGAATTCACCCCAGGGCTCCACTGCGGGAGGAAAGGTGTGTGTGTGTGCGCCTGGAGGGGGGGACGAGGGCTAAAAATACAGCGGCGAGTGCAGGCAGTGAGTCACCTGGCAGCGGAACGCCGCTGCCTCCCGTGCCCCCCCCGCCACCGGCGAATAATCCAGCTGCAAAATCCACCCCACAGCTGCAGCTGTGCCAGCAAACAAACCACAAAAGTTCACTCACCCATCCTTTTGTCATCAATAACGTCCTCCTTCGCCTTCCTCCAGCTGTTTTCTCCTCTCTCTTCCTATTTTTTTATTTTTTTTTTTTATCCCTTTCCCCTCGCCTCTCTCTTTTTTTCGAGCCCGGTTCCTTTGCTTTAAACCATCAGCATCTTCATGTCACAGCCCGGCTGCCACTCGCCCCGCCGCCATCCAGCGTGCCTGCCGGGAGCCCCACAAAGTTCCCCGGAGAGGACCAGCGAGAATTTTGGGGATGAGGAAGGGAAAGGATAAGGGAAGGGGTTGGGGGTGGGGAAGACAGGACGAAGGATGGGGGGAGTGTGGGGGGTAGGGAGGGACTCTAAGCTCTGAGAGCCATTGTGGAAGTCATCAGAGAACCGGCGGCGTTAAGTGGCAATCGGCGAGAAAAGCCGGAGCGGGCGATGGAGGCGAACCAACTTCTCTGGGAGGAAGGAGCAAAGCTCTGCCGGAGCCTCGCATCCCTCATGCTGCTGCCTTTTGCCATCGCCGGGCACAGCGATCCATCCTCCTCCGGCTCCCGGAGCAGACAGGGCCTCCCGTGCCAAGGCAGAGCCCGCTTCAGCAGCCCCGCAGGCTCGGTTTATCCATTTAGCTGCTCGGGTTTAAAGTGTTTTGTAGCTGTGCTGAGAGGCAGCTCTCGTCTAATTCCGAGGCTTTCCAGAGAGCGATGATGCTCCGGAGCTGGCTGGTACCGAGGCTGGAGTTTGTGGAACACCGAGTGCCCTCCACTGGAGAAAACCCAACGCGCATTAAAGGCTGAACAAGTGAGGCTGTCATGGCTCTGCAGACTTTGCTTCCCTCGGAAAAGAAAATTAAAGACACAGCATTGCCTTGCCCACCGTGCTCCCCTGCCAGAGCCCTCCGCCTCCCCCGGGTTGTGGAATGTTTATGGTGTGGGATTTTCGGACACAGGCGCCAAACAAAACACCTGCTCCCTTTGGGGTTTGCCAGCCTGAGCTTGTTCTAATCCACCTGACCTGTGTATTTGGCTTGGGCAAATTCTAAACTGTTCTTCCTTTTTTTTTTTTTTTTTTTTTTTTTTTTTTTTTTTTTTACCTGTATTCCAGGGGGAGGAGGGGGCAGGAAAAGGAATGAAGGAATGTTTGCAGGTTAAAAGTGAGAATCTTGGTACGGGGTTGAGGCTGTATCACACCGATCATCCCCACAAAAGGTATTTGTTTTGAGTGCAGGCAGCAACTCCAAACGTAAACACTCCTGCTGCGGCTGGGACAGGGTTAATCCCCTGTCTCGTAGCATGTAATTTTTTTCTTTTTAAATCTAAGTGCCTTTTAGTCAGAAAAACACTGACTTTGATAAACAAGGCAGAAGTGAAGCTGCAGAGTCAGTGACACCTTTTTTCCTCCTGAGCTGCTCTCCCGTGGGGATCCTGCAGAGCCAGGCTGGGACCCAGGTGTGTCACCTCAGAGGTGTGTCACCTCTGCCTGTGTCCAGCCAGGTGTCCAGGGCTGGGATCATTCCCAGTCCCGGCTGGGATCATTCCCAGTGCCCAGGGCTGGGATCATTCCCAGGGCTGGGATCATTCCCAGTGCGCAGGGCTGGGATCATTCCCAGTGCCCAGAGCTGGGATCATTCCCAGTGCCCAGAGCTGGGATCATTCCCAGGGCTGGGATCATTCCCAGTGCCCAGGGCTGGGATCATTCCCAGTGTCCAGAGCTGGGATCATTCCCAGGGCTGGGATCATTCCCAGTGCGCAGGGCTGGGATCATTCCCAGTGCCCAGGGCTGGGATCATTCCCAGGGCTGGGATCATTCCCAGTGCCCAGAGCTGGGATCATTCCCAGTGCCCAGGGCTGGGATCATTCCCAGTGCCCAGAGCTGGCATCATTCCCAGGGCTGGGATCATTCCCAGTGCCCAGAGCTGGGATCATTCCCAGTGCCCAGGGCTGGGATCATTCCCAGGGCTGGGATCATTCCCAGTGCCCAGGGCTGGGATCATTCCCAGGGCTAGGATCATTCCCAGTGCCCAGGGCTGGGATCATTCCCAGTGCCCAGAGCTGGGATCATTCCCAGTGCAGCAGGGCTGGGATCATTCCCAGTGCCCAGGGCTGGGATCATTCCCAGTGCAGCAGGGCTGGGATCATTCCCAGTGCCCAGGGCTGGGATCATTCCCAGTGCCCAGAGCTGGGATCATTCCCAGTGCCCAGGGCTGGGATCATTCCCAGTGCAGCAGGGCTGGGATCATTCCCAGTGCCCAGGGCTGGGATCATTCCCAGTGCCCAGGGCTGGGATCATTCCCAGTGTCCAGAGCTGGGATCATTCCCAGTGCCCAGGGCTGGGATCATTCCCAGTGTCCAGGGCTGGGATCATTCCCAGTGCCCAGAGCTGGGATCATTCCCAGTGACCAGGGCTGGCATCATTCCCAGGGCTGGGATCATTCCCAGTGCAGCAGGAAGGTGTCAGAGGGATGTGGAACAGGGGCAGCTCCCTGAGCTGGTTCTGGAAGCCTCTTTACCCAGAAGCTGTGAGGATTGGAAGGCTCAGGGCAGTTCCAGGATCCCACAAGGACCATTTCTGGCTCAGGCACACTTGGGTTGCTCAGAGGGCAGCACTGGACTGTTCTTAACAGCTTTAACAGCTCCTAAAACTTGGATATTTGTGCCATTTCCATCCCCCCACCCATACTAAACACCCCCATCAGCTATTTGGGGAACAACTCCCTGTCCAAATCCCACTCCAGTTGCCAAAATGGTGCCAGTGCTTTATTAAGTAACTCATGAGCCCACCATCAGGTGGTATTTAATTTTTAAATATTTGAAATATTTCCCACTGTGGCCCAGTCCTCCCTGCTCAGCATTCCCCAGCCTGGGGGTGTCTGTGGGCCACTGATGACCCCACTGTGTACCAAAAAGAGGTTTGGGGTTTTGTACCAAAAAGGAAACCTGCAAAAATCTCAAGGTCAGATTCCAGCCCCTTCCATCCTAATTCCTCATTCCTGGCTCACTGCTTGCCCCTGCAATCCATCCCAGATGGAGTTACCCCTGGCCAGCCCCAGGATCCAGCCCTCAGAAGGAGCAGGAAAAAGACTGGGACACAGAATGGGTCAAGAGTTCAACTCCATTCCAAAAAATAAATAATAATCCCAAAACAATCCATAGAAACCAACCTGTCCTCCCCTATATCTGCATCCAGACTGCATCTGCACCCACACTGCATAAATATTCACTTCTGAATAAAAACCCTTGCTTGGTTTGTTCTGTTATGACAATTTGTCGCTACCTATAGATCAGATATTCATTTGCATATGAAAAATATCATCATTAATCACTATTTTTATTCTGGGTTGGACAGCAGCACACACAACTCCCTCAAACAAGATTCAGAACTTAATTATCATAAGTGATGTTGAAAATACCTTTCCCATATCTCAGTTAACCCCATCTACATCACAGCCAGGAGAATTGGAGCAGGAATTCATATTTATTATTCCCAATAAATGTAAAAGCTGAAGTGTGCAGTTATTTATTCCATCTTGGACTGATGATTCTCCAGGATGGGTCCATTTGAAGCTCTGCCAGCTCTGGGAGTGAGCAGAGCAATGTCCACAGGATCCCATTTCCAGGGATGTCTTTTCCCAAATCCTTGGATCCTACAAGAGCTGAAGCAGCACAGCCATGAGATCTCCTCCTGCCATGGACTGAGCCTCAAAATCCCACATTCCTTCCAAAAGGTGGACATGATTTTGCTGCCTTAAAAATCCTGTGATGCTCTAATGGAAAATTTCGTGAATTCCAAGGCAGAAAACTTGAGGAGCTGAGCTGAAGCAGGGGAGCTTTCACTCCACGGCACAAACGCCACCCCCTCCTTTTTTCTTTTTCATTTTCCATTTTCTGATGAAATAGAAAACAAACCCACTTGAACATTTGCCAAAGGAGAAGAGACGGGGAAGCTTTAATCAGCCTTAATAAGGGACTCTGAGCTAAAAACACATGGAAAGGAGGAGGTTTCAAAGGCTTTTTGTGGTTTGGTTCCATTTCCTTGGAGCAGGGAGAGGGGTGAAGATCCCTGCCCGGAGAGACCCGGAATGTTCTGAGTGCTCAGCTGAGCCTGCTCCAGCTGGCAGAGCTCCCTCCCACCCCAGCAAGGGTTACCTACAGAAATTATCCATCCTGGGAAGGACCTTGGGCTCTGTGGCTTCTCTTCCAGGAAAATGGGTCTGCACAGGGCTGATTTTGAGTTGTCATTATTTTATATATGAATGTGTTTATTTACTTATGTACATTATCTATTAATTTATATTTTATATATATATATATGCACAAATATTATGCATATATTCCATGTATTTTTATATATTTGTATTTGTATTTTTATGCATTTGTATTTCTATATATTTGTATTTTTATTTCTATATATTTGTATTTTTATGTATTTGTATTTTTATTTTTATATATTTGTATTTTTATATATTTGTATTTGTATTTTTATGTATTTGTATTTCTATATATTTGTATTTTTATTTTTATATATTTTTATTTTTATATATTTTTATTTTTATATATTTGTATTTTTATATATTTGTATTTGTATTTTTATGTATTTGTATTTTTATTTATTTGTATTTTTATTTTTATATATTTATATTTTTATTTTTATAAATTTGTATTTCTGTATATTTGTATTTTGATATATTTGTATTTCTATATATTTGTATTTTTATTTTTATATATTTTTATTTGTATTTTTATATATTTTTATTTGTATTTTGATATATTATGTTCTATATATTATATAATACATATATATATTTGGGAATACCTGTGCCTCATCAATGCTTTTCAACTCCTCATTAATGTTTTTTTAGGTGTCAGGAAAATCCACCCACGCCAGGGGTTTATTCCACAAAGGAGACAGAGGAGTCCTTCACTCGAATAAAGGGAGAGAGTTCACGGGGCTCATGCCCAGGGGATTTTCTGTCTCTCTGGGTACAGTCCCCCTTTTATCCCAAACTCCCACCCCACGTTGGGCTCTTCCTTTCCCCAGCTGTGCCAGGGAAATTTCCCGAATCCCATTCCCCCTGAAGCTGCTGCTTTTACCCCAAAGCTGAGAAGTTCAGGCTCGTGCAGACCCCGCATGTGTCAAACCCAGGCTGGGCCTGGTGAGGAACCTGCTGCTCAAATTTAACAGGGACATCAGGAGATGTTTCAGAGATGTTTACACCCATCAAATTGTTTGTGAAGACACCAGCCCACATCTTCCCTCTCAGTGGGATCAATGGTTTGAGGCACATGAACCTAAACCCCAGGATTAACCACCACCAGCTCAGGGAGGGTTTTAGGACATGGAGAAGGTGTTTTTCCCCATCTTCCTGACCGCAGGAGCGCCGCACTCTGTTAGCATTCATCTCCAGTGGATGGTTTGGTGATAAGGCCTGCTTGGAGTCAATTTATCCGGGCTGTGTACACTTCCCTTTTAATTTGGCCTCATTCTCCAAGGATGAAACAGATCCACAGCTCAGGAACCGGCCGCTGACAGAGCAGCCCCTGTGCAGCTTTGTTCCAAGGGCTGCAGAACTCACACCTTGGGTTTTCCTTTCCCCCCTCTCCCCACGGCTGGTAAATGATGAATAAATTAGCAATTTGCGTGTAATGGCTGGAGCAGCTTCATTAATACCCTGTCAGGGTGTGCCTGGTACAACTTCTGACATTGAGGCTCTAATGTCCTGTGAATTATTGATGGAAGTGCTCGAGTCCAAGTTCTTATCTCCAGCTCTTCATGTGCTAAGTGTTTAATTGTCAACAATTCATGACCACTGCCTTGGGCTGGTGCATTAAAACCCGAGTGCAGCAAACCCCTCTGGATTCCTGGGGGGGTTTGTGCCCTGTGGTGTGTACTAGCTTGAAAGCAAACCAGTGGGAGATCCCAAGTCAGAACTACAATTTACTAGGAAAATTAACATGAATGCAACAATACAGAAACACTGACAGGGTCAGAAT